TATGTCCTCCCACAGACAAGTATGGGCACAACTTGTGTTAACTGAATTTTCTGTTTTAGATTATCAGCCACAAAATATTGCAATTTATTAAATTAATAATTTAGCTATTTTTCTGGTGCCCTTAGATGTTTCATTCTGTTGCTTATCAAATGTGAATAGTAGTCCTTAACATAGAAGACAATGTGTTAGTGATTATTGCATATTTCTATAATAAGCCTCATAAATTTTTCAAAAAGCTTAGCTTGAATAGAATAGAATATCAACTTGCATTGTAGGGTTCAAAGAAGTGTCATATTTTCCTTTCAAGATTATTTTGAATTTCCTTACTATTTGAAAATGATATTAATAACACTAAATCTTTTTGACTGTGTGATCTGAATTCATCCAGAATTATCAGCTTGGTAGCAATAGCACTTGTATATTTGCCTTACTTTATACAAAAACATAAAGCTTCATAGGTGGAAAGTACCCAATAAACTACTATCTCAAATTTTCTTATTTTATTCAAGTGGAAATTGAGACCCGGAGAATTTAAGAAAATTTCTCTTTAGGTAGTTTAAGTGCCAGCAGGGTAAGGTCAAGAACTGTGGTCTTATGATTCCTGATTCAATGCTTATATTAACCTTTTGTCATTAGACAGCTTCTTTCTTCTCTAGTGTCACTTATCTTTGCAAATATTCCATATTCTATTATGAAGTGTCCCTCATAATCATATTGTGTCTTTATACCGTTGGAAAGTAGTATTTTTCCATTTCCTTTAAGTTAAATGTAAATCAACTTCCTAAATTGCTGACAGGACATCAGCAGAAAACTGACCTTATAAAAAAGTCACATTTATACACACACACACACACACACATACACACACACACACACACACACACAGAGAGAGAGGGAAGGGATATATATATATATATGCACATTATACATGTATATGTATTATGTATACATATAGCATGCATATATATATGATATATATATATATATATATATATATATATCATACATATATATACTAATGATAAGACTAGAATAGTAGTAAGATCTAGTGAATGGAAAATAAAGCAGCCAGGACTTTTTTGAAAGAATACCCAGTAGTCTCCATCAGTTGTCTTCAAGTTTGAATAATTTTTCCGGCAATTATCAACCCATCAATATGCTGAATACTCCTCTCTAAAGATCTTTTGAAAAAAAAATTTAATAAAATTTATTGTGAAACCGGCGTTTTTGCAGGTGGATTACAATGAAAATTTAGGTAAATGATTTGGATTTTGCTCTTTTTCATTGCTGTGGGCGTCAGAAGCTCCCTCATATCCACTTTCTACCCCAGAAGCATGAGAGTATTTCAGTGTATGTTAGCAATGGCTTCTGTTGTGGGTTCAGAATCTCTGACAACATCTAAAGAATATTGAAATCTGTCATTGAAATCTCACTGAAATATGTTCTATTGAGGATACATAGAATCCTATGTTGGTACAGTCCTAATGAACTGAATTAAAATTCTTTCTGGAATAGAAAGAAAGGAGAAAAGTAACATGAAGTAAATGTCTTGAACTTTTACCTAATTTTATCTTTTGCACAATGCATTAAGTGCTGTTTATCCTATTCAATCTATTAAGAAAGGAAACCAAGAACCAAGTTGACACAGTAGTAATGCCTTAGGCATGAGGAAGTGCTGCAGATCCATAGTGGAGCACTTTGAATGTTATTCGCATTGGACACAAGTTGGAATACGAAACAGTGATTTCTCTGGTTTCTGAATCTCATGTTGTCCCCACAGGCATTAATTTAGAAAGGGAAATTTGCACATAGTTGAATTTCCTCCATCATCTGAAGGAGGTTGATGTAATGAATCTGTGAAAAGATAAATTAATAATGATGTCATCTCATCTTGAAAAAACAGGTTGGCAAGCCTATATTCTACCTACTAAATAGAGCTTCACTAGCACATTACACTCATTATTACTGGTATCTTCATCATTTATATAAAGAATAATTGTGCTGGAAGAAATCCTACAGATCCTTTTCATAAACAATCTTAGTACATAACATAATTGATTAGCATCTTTCCATGTCTCAATAAACTGAATGCAACAGAAACTTAGCTACTATCTTTTTGAAAGTATAAATAACCAATATGAGCTAAGTTGAACTTTTATGACAGTCTATGTTTATCAAATTAAGTTGTAATTCGATGATATTTTGGCATTTAAATTATACTGTCTTTGTAATTCCATATTGTATCCAGATATTTTCATGTAATACATTTATTTATAATCATAAACCTAGGTATTGTGTTTTACTCATTATACCTAGTACTTAGAGCAGTGCTTGAAAAAGAAACTCAATAAATATTTCTGAGTATCACAATAAGCAGATAGAATAGATTGTCCTAGACAATGTTCTGAAGCCTGAGAAACATCATAGAGTGGCAAGTATTTCCATTAAGTAGCACAGAACATTCCCCTCAATTAAATAATAAATGTATTCATTCATGTTCATTATCTCAAATTCATGATGTGTTGAAATAGGCACTTTAGCACTATTTGGTGGTGGTATGCACATTTCCAAATATAAAGATGATTAGTTCTGCTAAAACAACCTGTTACAAAATCAAGACATTGAATTTCTTCACAATTCCTAGTTGGCCCCCAAATCACTGAATGTTCATTATTTCCTTCTGGCTATTGATAATAATCTATCCTTGGCATAAAGTTTGCTCTAATATAATTGATTTAACTTAAAGAAAATAAGATAAATCAAAGTTGAGGGAAAAGTTCAAGATATTATATCATGTCATTTTATTTCATTTAGATTTGCTCTATTCCTTTTTTTCACCAGTAATTATTATAATGACAGTCCTCACTTTATTTCCAAAATGATCAGAGGAAGTGGTTTTGAAAGCATTGTTATCACGGTAAAGACAAAGATTATGCAATTAGTAGTGTCAAGATATGGTAAGTGCTGTTACCCATCTCGAATTTTTTGAAGCATCTTATTCCATTTCTGCTATCTATAGGTTGACCTTGTGATGTCTAGACAGATTATTTTTCCAAAGAACTGCAGTGTATAATTCAACAAATGATTTTTTTTAATTACATGAAAGAATTTTAAATACTTTGTATTACTTTTTAGACCCAAAGATCTTTTTCTCAGTTCCTTTCCTAACAAGATTTCCTTCATATGGAATTTGCATTGTTTAAAGTTCTCTATGAAGCCATGTGCGTAAGGCATGGTTCTTACCCTAGGGACTTTCTAATATACAGTCCTTTTCATGTGTTATTTCTAAAGAGCTGACACACTCACGGCTCATTGTCTTGTAATTTTTGTACTACAATTCCTTATAGTTGGGTTGCTAGAGGGAACATAGAGACATTCTGATTCAGAAAGAATATGGTCATTTGATTTTTTAAGACTTTGGTTATGTGAAAGACATCATCACTGTTCTGTAAGCTCCCCAGGATTACTTCCTACTGTTAGGTGACTTTTTACCTTTACCTCTAACACTGTACCAAGATTTGTCACTCACGTCTGGTGCTCCCTTGCAAGAAACAGTCAAAATATGCAAACACAATGTGCCAGATTTTCTCACCAATTTCTCTGGTCAACTCAAAAAATAAAGAATAAAATTTTCTTTTCTGACTATAGTCAAAATTTTGTTCTTGTTGAAAGAGCTATTCTGGATCAATTAACCTTCAAATGTCCCATCAAAATAGTGCATTTGTACTTTATCACCTGATACAAGGGAGCATTTATATGTGACTAAGGTCTTATTTAAGGGAAGCTAGTGATAAATTGTAGAAACTAAAAGTTAGGTAGCCTAAATGTTTAAGAAAATACAGTGAAGTAAATGCTTGTTGCCAACATAAAATCTAGTTTTGTTGGCCTGAGAAAACATGTAGCTAAGATGATTTCTTTTTTTTTTCCCATTAATTTATTTTATTGCATTTTAGCTTTTGGGGTACATGTGAAGAACATGCAAGATTATTGCACAGGTACACACGTGGCAGTGTGATTTGCTGCCTTCCTCCCCATCACCTACATCTGGCATCTCTCCTCTTGCTATCTCTCCCCAGCTCCCCACCCCCCACCGTCCCTCCCCTTTTTCCCCCCAACTGACCCCAGTGTGTAGTGCTCCCCTCCCTGTGTCCATGTGTTCTCATTGTTCAACACCCACCTATGAGTGAGAACATGTGGTGTTTGATCTTCTGCTCTTCTGTCCGTTTGCTGAGAATGATGGTTTCCAGTTTCATCCATGTCCCTACCAAGGACATGAACTCATCGTTTTTTATGGCTGCATAATAGTCCATGGTGTATATGTAACTAAGATGATTTCAACATTGTCCTCAGCTTAACTGACCTTTACACCTAGCTCCCCTTTGTCTTGGAGCATTTGAATTTAAAAAAAACAAACTTGCAGTTGTAAATTATGTCTCTGTTTTGTTGAAATATAAATCTCCTATCATACTCTTGCTAGTTTTACAACCCAGGGATGTTTTTCTCAAAAACCTAGGAGCCATCTTCACTGCAATGTAATCATTAAGAGTGGCCTTATCTAGTAGTCTCTGTAGGAGGATGGGAGACTAACTTCTGTAAGCACCATTTTGCAGAACAAATGCCTAATCATCTTGACCAACTTCTTTTTAAGAAGACCTTAGAGTTCTCTTTCTTTTGCTCTGTCACTCCAAAATGAGTTCAGCCTCTCTTTCTTATTCTAATAGTATTGACTCCTAACACAACAGTCTTGAATAAAGTATTTTTTCCTGTTTAACTCATCCAGGATAATTATTCTTTGAAATGTATTTTCAATTGATGTAACTTTACCAATTTTTTGAGATCATATTCACTGTATTATAAGACTGCCAGCTTTATATGCCCACTGTGCCACAACAGACCAACATCCTGAAACAGCAGGGTTTGCAGCAGAGTTTAATAATCACAAGGCCGCCAGTTGAGGAAACAAGGAATTCTCAAGCCTCAAATCTACTTATTTGAGGAGATTTGTACCACGATCTTTAAGAGGATCATGGAGGGCAAGGGGCTGGAAAATTGGGGATATCAATTGGTCAGGGTAAGGAGGATGATATAATCAGAATGTGAAAACTCTACTCTTCCATAAGTCAGCTTCATACTTGGTCCTTTACACCAGCTAGCATGGGTAGTTTTCTTTGGTTTTACAGAACCTGCAGGAGAAACTCAAAATGCAAACAGCAAACTTATCATCTCACAATGTCTTTAATTTTACCTATAGAGCAAAGAGTCTTGTGACAAGGGTTATGTTATCCTGGGGTAGTAAGCAGTGACCATCTGCAAGGAAGTGAGTTAAAGGGCAAGCTGGCTAATTATTACTGCTGATTGTGCTGCAAGCTGAGTTGAAAGGTTGTTTCCCCTTAGTGGAGTTTATAAAATTTTCTTGGGGACAATTTCAAAAGTCTAGTATTCTTTAGGTCCAAATGATATTGAGGCAAAATTGGTATCTTTGATAAAGATCAGTGGGGAAGCTACATTACTGATTTAAGCTATTATGCTTAATTTACTTCTGTATTGATCACCACTGCTCCTAGCATGAATCCATGTTAGGTATAGGTCAAGAAGAAGAACAGCTTTCACAACTACAGAATCATTCTAACTTTATGTACTTCAAAGACAAGAAGCTTGTGTTTATTTTTAATCAGAAATCTTATATAAATAAAGGCACAATGAAAAGGCTTTTCAGGGGGGAAAAGGAAGGGGATCTGAAAAGTACTGATGTGTAAATCAGACTTATCTCTGAGATGCCCCAGTGTTCTGGGAAGGAAGCCAGTGGGCTACAGGTAATTAAGGAATTAAAATCTTATGGTTTCATGTGATACTGGAAGCTATTCTTTCCCAAATAAATTCTGCTTAAGATTCTCCTAGAATCCTTCTGGCTGATGCCAGGTAAGTTGATTAGCCTCTGCTGTGGTGTTTAAGTTAAACGATCAAAAGCAATGTGGCAAGCTAAAATGGGACTCACCTCTCTAAGTCCAGATGTTTCTGATGAAGGGACTTCATCCCTCCTATATGTCTTAGTGTTCCTCTCCCCAATCAATGAATAAAAAATGAATAAAAAATTCTTTATCTAAAAGACTCGGTGAATTATGACTGAATTCCCTACGTTAACCATAGCAACGAAGAGTGGAATACTTATATACCTGAAGATTTGCTCCTCTAGAGAACACATTTTCTTGGTGTCATTCTTCACTGTAGAAGCAGTTATTTCTTCCACATAGAACATTTTGAATATAGCTACCAAGGCCAAATTTTTCTCTGCTATTATAGTCAATATTTGACAAAAACTCCAAATTAGAATGCACAACTCCCAAGGACTCTCTTAACAATTGTACTGGGAATAGGCCTTAGTAGAGGGATAGACCAAATTTCTTATTACCAGGAGAGGAAACCAATACTTTACTCTGGGGAAAGACTATAGCCTGTTATTTGTAGCCTGAGCTATGTAGGACAAGGCTCATGTTATGTAAGATTCTTACCCTAATTGTTTTTAAATGATTTACGTTAACCTAATTATTGTGCTGTTTTTCCTTAACTCTAGTTACTATATAAAGATATAATTTTTAATCCTTCATCGTAATAGCCCTTGACAAGATATTTTCTTCAAAAGTTTATTTTGGTGTTATTTATAGTGATTTGTTATTAGGGTGGTGTTATTAGGGTGTTATTTGATGTTATTTAGTGTGCCAGACATTGTACTCTAGCTACCAAAATGGAATAGTTATTGTTTTTGCTTTTCTTTCCTTGAGAAATTGTTACAGTGTTTTTTGTTGTGATTTTTGGGTTTCATGGGGAATTATTTTAAATTAATCACACATTAGTTTTTCAAAAACTCTGCTATAAAGAAGTCTCTCTGCTCCATAAAATAATGAGATTTTTCAAAGGCAACATTAAAATCATATAGCTAAGTCTGAGTATACGCTGAACATTAAATTTGAAACAGAATCAGCATACAAATTAAAAATGTTAATTATCCTTAGGTTGTATGGAGTATCTTACATAGGAAAACAGACAAAGATGCCCCACATAAGTCAATTCAAGACTCACTGTTTAAAACTAGTTTGTGCATCAAAGACCTCCCATCATCAGGAAAAAATGCTGAAAATACAGTAGGCCCTTCTTATGCCTGGGGGACACATTCCAACACCTTCAGTGTGTGCCTGAAGCTATCAATAGTACCAAACCCTACATAGAATCTGCTTGTTCCGAAACATACTTACATATGATAGATTCAATTAATAAATTAGGCACAGTAAGAGTTTAATCAGTGAAACTAATAGCAAAATAGAACAATGATATAATTTAATAACAATATAAATTGTTATAGAGTGGAATATATTGTTACTGTAGATCTTAGCAACTTAAATGTCTGATTTTTTTCTTTCCTTATTAAGTCAAAAACATTCACCTTTTCACTTAAAGGAAGCACTCTATGTCTTCTCTTTCACGTATCCAAGTCTCCAGCCTCACTAACACTTCTGCTTTGTGGCTATTAAACAAAACAGAGGTTACTTGAACACCAGCAACAATACATGATAGTCAATCTGATATCAAGATGGCTGCTAAATGACTAGCAGGGGGTTGGAATGTACAGCAGATAGGATACACAGTATGGGCACGCTGGGCAAGGGGTGATCACGTCCAGGTGAGATGGAACGAAACAATTCAAGATCACATCACATTACTCAGAATGACATGCAATTTAAAACAGGAATTGTTTATCTCTGGAAGTTTTCATTTATTATTTTCAGACTCTCGTTGACTGCAGGTAACTGAAATTGTGGAAAGTGAAACTATGAATAAGGAGAGCAACTATACCATCAAAAGCTGCTACGCCAGTGTATAGCCCATGATGGCTGCACATCTAGGAAGAAAGGAGGATAGAGAGGAATGAGCAAAGCAGTAGGGACAGAGATAGAGAAGATACAAACAAAACACTTGTCAACCAAAGTGAGCCACCCACCCATATCCAAAAACATGCAACACATTGATGTTATTGCAAAAAATAAGTTAACAGCCAGACAAGAACTCCTGATAATACTGATTTTACTGAAGAATCTGAAAACTATATTCAAATTGGGCTGTTTAAGATAGTCAGAAAAGGCAGGGCGCTGTGGCTCACACCTATCATCCCAGCACTTTGAAAGACCGAGGCGGGTGGATCAGAAAGTCAAGAGATCGAGACCACCCTGGACAACATGGTGAAACCTTGTTTCTACTAAAAATACAAAAATTAGCTGGGCATGGTGACGCAGCCTGTAGTCCCAGCTACTTGACAGGCTGAGGCAGGAGAATTGCTTGAACCCAGGAGTTGGAGGTTGCAGTGAGCTGAGATTGCGCCATTGCACTCCAGCCTGGGTAACAAGGGCAAAACTCTGTCTCAAAAAAAAAAAGTCAGAAAATAAAAATTCATAATGGTATTAATTTAATCTATAATAATCGCTTTTCATTAAAAAAAGCAAGAAAATAGAAAACAAAATATGACAAACATGAAGATAACAGGAATAAAAAGTAGAAGTCTTAAATAAAAATCATAATCAAAATATCAAGAGCACTTAGGAACTTAAACTCTATTATGGTGTCATGAATAACAAAGTAAGATTAAGAAACTGCAAGTAAACTCCAAGTGTAATGTCCAGGAAACCAAGTTGAGATTCAAGAGAGCAATGGTGACCACGGAGAGTGTAGAGGAGTGAGGCAGGACAGCTGCCCACCCAGGATGGGTACAGACCCAGGGGGGGCTCCCTGCTGTGGGGAAAGGATGAGTGAGTCAGAGCCCTTGGGGACTCACACTTCTGTCATGGACTTTTGCAACCCTGGGCACGGGAAATCCTCCAGAGCCCCCATCTCCTGACTGACACAGAGAACTTCCTGGAGTCTGGGCAGGGCCTGTGCTCAAGCCCACGTGGGGCCCCATGGGCCTTGGATCCCTGAACACCCTGGTGCCAGTTGCTATAGCCACGTCAACACCAAGAGCCAGCTCTCTCCAACAGGAGATGGGCCACATGTATGGTGCTGAGGAGCAGAGGAACTGCAGGCCTCGCCTCCCTTCCACCTCAGTAAAGAAGACCCACTGGCCAGAGACCTTAGCCCTGAGGGCAGTCCGGCCACTGCCCCACTTCTGGCTTCCGAAACTCTGGCCAGTCACAGCCCTGCATTTCTTTGGGACTGCCCTCCTAGACATAACTGACAGGCTCACTGCAATTCCCACTGGCACTGTCCCTACCCCTGCTGCCCTCAGGCTGAAGAAAGAACCAAGAACCCAGGAAGAGTCATGGGCCCGCAGTAGGCTGCAGCTGCCCTTCGAAAAGCAGCCACAGTTTTCTGTGCAGGTTCTTGCCCCTCTGGCTCCTCACGAGGAGGACTTCCTAGCCTGAGACACCAGAGCAACGACCCACCTGACGTGCTCACTTCAGTCACGGAGGGCTGTTGGGTTCCAGCCCCAACCCTATTCCTGTGTGTCCTTAGTCCTAGTGGTGACAAGGGAGTGAGAAAAAAAATAAAGACAAAGACAAGAGTATAGTTTCACAGCGTGGGTCCAGGGAACCAACGCAAACTCGTCGGGACAGCGTTGGCCCTGAGCTCTAGGCTCCACAACCTTTTATTAGGTGCACAATCTCATTAATCTTGTGGGCTGAAGCAGAAGGTTTTCGGGGGAGGACTAAAAACTATTGTGGAGTAAGATAGCCGGGGCGGGGGAGTAGAGGAAGAGTGTGTGTCTGCAGCATTCAATAGCACATGTGATTCTTCTAAGAGATGCAAACCTACCACACTGAATTTTACCACTGCTTGTTATCAAGGTATATTTGCATAGAAGCACAGTGGATAAAGTGCCACCAGGTCTGACCACACACAATGTATCAAGGGGCTTTTATCTCCCAAGCACTGCAGACACAGAGCAATCAGAATTACTCCATATTCTGAGAAACTAGGCAGAGCCTGTGGCGTTCAGGTTATCCCTGCCCTGCAAGGCTTTCCTGCCTTGCAAGCTCCCATCTGCAAAGACCCTCCCTAGTCTTATGGGCAGAGGTTGCCTCTCTTCTCAGAGATCTTGCACAAGTCCTCTTTAGGAGACCCTCTTGCAGCCTCTGTGTTGAGAAGGCATTTGCTGGACCAAAGCAGTATTTCCTGCTTTGCAACCGCCCTGCTGCATTCCACCGTTTTACAAGCTCTCCCAGATGGTCTTTACCTTAGGCCTGTGGCCGCTTGATTTCTATTTTACTGCACCAATATTTGATATTGTGTAGTTTGGGGTCTAAACTTCAGTGTACAGTAAGCAAAGCAAGCTTACAATTATTTAACTAGAAATAACGTAGGTCTGCCCCTGGCCATCTTGACCCGCGGACGGCTTTGTGTTTCTGTGGGCTGGAGTTCTCAGAGACAACCCAAGGGCCCTCTGCCATAGCCACTGCCACAGTAGCAGTCCTAATTTCTCCCAGGCTAGGGAGGGAACAAAGAGCCCGATTGCTTTCCTGGCACCTCCGGCATGCCACAGCTGCCCTAGGAAGAGGAGGCCACATTCTTTTCTTGAGAATCCCTGACTTCCTTGCTCTTCACCAAGAAGGGCCGCCTGCTGGGACCCACAGAGCAGCTGCCGCACCCACACCTGGTCACGTCAGTCAGTGGCAGCTCTGTGTTACTCTGGGGTGCAATGCCGGAGACCACGGACAGGTCCTCTGTCACTGCAGCTGCCAGAGTCCCCACCACTGCTGCCCCCAAGCGGCAGGAGAGAGAGAATAACAAAAGGAGGAGAGAATGACAAAAAAGCATGAGCTCCTTCCAATGCAGTGGCTCATGCCTGTAATCCCAGCACTTTGAAAGGCCAAGGTAGGCGGATCACGAGGTAAAGAGTTCAAGACCAGCCTGACCAACATAGTGAAACCCCTTCTCTATTAAAGATGCCAAAAATTAGCCGGGCACAGTGGTGGGTGCCTGGAATTCCAGCTACTCAGGAGACTGAGGCAGGAGAACCACTTGAACCCGGGAAGCAGAGGTTGCAGTGAGCTGAGATCGTGCCATTGTACGCCAGCCCTGCTTGAGCTCACCCCGGGGCTGCTCTGTGCAGCTAGGGAGTGCCAAGCTGAGTGGCTGGTACTCAAAAGGGAGAGGAACCCACACTCTCAGGGCACAGAGCTAGGTGAGCCACATAGGCTTCTGGTCTGCTGTGAGAGTGAGGCATGCCTCCATCCACAGGGCCATCCAGAACAGGTGTGGCCTATCTCCCTGCTGCGGTCTCTGACCAAGGAAACCCTGTGGCCTGGAACACCTGACAAAAACACATGGTTGTACCAGTGATCAATAGTGGCTTCTCCAAGGCCCGGGAGTGGACCTGGTGAGGAAGTCAAGTCTCTCTCCACCACATCACAGCATGGCCGCAAATGCCCGGAAATACGAAGGAGCCACTTGGCTGAGTATAAGCCAGTTTACCTGCCATTACTCTTAAGCACCATACACTAAATCACAGCTGAAACTACAACACTAAAAATACACTGCTAATGTATCCTCCATGTGAAACAAAGGGCGAGAATTCAGCCGCAAGTAAAGAATTTGGACAGAACTTTGGCCCTCTGAACACGCCCAGAAATGACGCCAACTGACTATACTCAACATACACCACAGTTAAAAGAGTAGCAATTCTCCTGGATAAGAAAGAATCAGGGCAATTAGAAAAGCCAGAGCATTCCCTCCCCTCCAAACAGTTCCACTAGTTCCCCAGCAGTGGTCCTTGAACCATCTGAAGTGACTGAAATGACTTACACAGAATCCAGAATCTGGATGGCAAGGAAGCTCATTGAGATCCAAAACAAGTTGAGGTCCAATCCAAGAAATCCAGGAAATCATCCCAGAAATGAAAGGCAGAATAACCACTTTAAGAAAGAACCAATCTGAACTTGTAGAGCTGAAATAGTCACTACAAGAATTTCATAATATAATCAAAAATATTAACAGCAGAATACACCAAGGTGAGGGAAGAAGCTCAGAGCTTGAAGATCAGCTTTTTAAATCAACCCTGTCAGACGAAAATTTCAAAAGAATATTAAAAAATGAAAATGAAATCTGAGAAACATGGGATTGTGTAAACAGACCAACTCTCTAACTCATTAGTATTCCTGAGAGAGACGGAGAGAGAATAAACAATTTGGAAAACATATTTGAGGAAAATGATTTCAAAATTTTGCTTCCACAAAAATTTTCCTAATCTTGCTAGAGGGGTTAAAAAATTAATACATAATTTTTGTACTTAATTTTATCTTCAGGTATGATTGCTTCCACTTTTTTTTTTTTTTTATTAAGATAGTTATTTTTGTTCCCTTGGAAGATCAAATAAATTCCAAGAATTTAACAGGTTTCTGCAGGTTGTGCTTTTTCTTGTACCATTATATTCCTTTCTGTAAATATTTATTATTTTGTTAGCTTTTCTTATACATTTTCTATATTTGTTCTATGATTGCAATATCATCTATTATATTTACTTTTCTCTAAATAGAT